AAAAAAAAAAAAAAAAAAATTCAGGAATTATGGTCTACCTGAGCCGGTCAGTATGTGGGGCGGTGGCTGCCTCATAACCATGAAGCTCCTGCACATGCTCTGGATAAGCCAATCCCCTCTTCCTCCTCGCCCTCCACATAACCCGCAACAACACCGTCAGCGGGCTCCCCTGCGGCCGCCGGAATCTATACCTCGTCGTTCCGGCGAGCAAAATCACCATCGCCGCCACCATCGTCGCCGCCGATATCCCATACCCCCATCCCCTCCCAACATTGTCTTGTAAATAAACCAACACCGTCACAGCAAACAACGAACCCAGACTGATGCAGAAGTAGAACCTATTGAAGAAGAAAACCATCGCCCTTTCCTCCTTCGGGTCACTGTTATCGAACTGATCTGACCCGAAACCCGACACGTTTGCCTTTATACCGCCCGCGCCGGCCGCGATTATGTACAGCGCTGCGAACAGCATTGATAGCTGTCCGCCGCTCGCCGATACGCATTCGTGTTCTTTAAGCCGGAAATCGTCACATGCCGGTGGCTGCATGCTGCTCAGAGAGGTTGCCATTGTCAGCAAGCTGGTTCCCTGTAGAATAACAGAGCCATAATATAGTTAAAATCTATAATTGTTTCAATAATAAAAATTGAAAATTTTCAAATTTATTCAAATGATCCAAATATTTTACAATGGATAAACATTTTATGTGTAAGTGAACCTAGTCGGCTCAAACTTGGCTCGTTAATGAGCCCGTGAATTGATATTATCAAGTTTTGAGTAAGATCGAGCTCATATGCTAAATGAGCTTTGTGGTCGAGCTCCATCCGATTTGATAATCATCGAGATACTCGTTTTTAAAAATTGAACCCTCGAGCTTGAGTAAAAATTTATGAGTCAAGCTCGAACTTGTTTGATGGGCTCGACTTGACCTCAAGCTCAATTTTGAGCTGCTCTTTTGAGGGACGAGTAGAGCTTGACTCGTTTGCACCCCTATTTATCACGATTGACACAAAAAGTTTTTATATTTATTCAAACATTTATAGTAAATTTAATTAATTATGGAGAAACATCGTATCAGAATTTCTG